TCTTGACCCAAACGAGTTGTCGACTCCATGTAAACTGGAAAATATTCATACGTTTATCAAAGTCAAGTTTTGAATGACAAACAAACGTGTGAAACCGACTTTCACCAGGAAGCGCAAGAGAATCTGTAAGTCACGGAACGTCCAATCACGTAAACCTCTCCGCTCAAAAAAAAATTCCTCTCAAACGATGTGGAGTTGAGAAGTGGGGGTGGGGTGACAACATGGATTCGAGAAGATGTTGTTCTTTTCCTTTTTTTTGGATCAATTGTCGGCCTTTCCAGAATCTTGAATGGAAGGCCGGCAGTTACTCGAAAGAAAAAAAAAATGTCAGCCGAATTTTGTTCGCTTACAACAGAACCTCTTTCACATGAAGGCGCGGTTAATGAGAAGCATGGCTATAATAAAGTCAAGGTAGAGAGGAGAAAGTGTTGTGGGACAAAAGCACCATTTTCTCCTCTCCACTTTCTCCATCGAAAAAATACACTTTCTAGGTGTTAAGAGGGTTTCCTCTCCACTTACTCCGCATAACACTAATATCAACTACAAATCTCATTTTAAGCATGTCTTAAATCATTTGCCGACAAAGTGATGATATACGAAGAGTAGTAAAAGATTCCCAAGCAAAAATAAAATACTTACATATTGAATGCTGTACATAATTTTTGGCCAAATTCTTGGCCCGATCCTGGCTGAACAAACTGTCTTCAGCAAGGTTCCGCCTTTTTTCGATGACCTCCTTCAGCATTTCGCTTTTCTTTTTCTCCGTCTCAATTATATTACTCATTCTTGCGCTAAAAATAAATTATGTTGTTTAAATAGTATCACTGCTCCGCTCGAACACTTTCGTAGCACATTGTACACAAAAAAGAATTTACATTACTAAAAAATAAACCGAAATATAAGTTTGGACAATTTTGTTAAAAGATGAGAAGATTATCTCACTGGCTAAGTGACTTACTTGATGCCTAAGTCGACTTCGGGAATACCAGCAAGCATTTGATTTGACAGAAGTTCATCATTTCGTTCACTTCGGAACAAGCGCACCTTCTCTGCTGCCTTCCACATTAACGTGTCTTCTACACTTAGCACTTTTGGCTGTAAGTAGCAAATTTGCTGTAGAAATCACGACAAAAGGTATTAACAAATAAGTTAAAAATTCTTAAACATTGAAATTTTTAAGGGAGTTCAAAGAACTCGTAACCCGAACACAACACATGGCAATGGGAACCAACTAGTTTCTGCTTATTTCCTGTTCTAAGGGCTGCTTAGAAGCAAGTTGGTAGTATCTGACTCCAAAACATGCACTCTACCGCCGATACGAACATAAAGCAACTGATTTTTTGCCACCAGGAATGAATCCTCGATGTTCACGCTGACAAAAAGTAGCGCAATTTTGCTATTTATGCTATGCTTGCCAGTAAAATTTATAAATTTTACCTCTTTAATCATAGTATTTGGAAAATATAATTTATTTTTAATATTCATCTGTCCGCAAAAACCATAATACAAAACACTTACCGTGGTAGGATCCTCTTTCTCCAAATCCTGTTCTGCTTTTCTTTTTCGTAACTCCGCTTGAACATACTTCTTCCTGGAAAACCAAGCATCAAAAACCGCTGTATTTGAAAAGGACAAAGTTTCCAGAATGTTCAATAACGCGATCAGAAGCTCTCCAAAACGAAGCAGGCAAATTTGCAGAAAAAACTGAACCAGTAAATCAAAAATAAAAAAAAAACAAAATCATTTTCACAAATTTCCGCGAAAGACAAAAAATGCCGTTGAATTAGAAACAAAAAAAAAATTTCGCTTAACAGTTTCATTCAAAAAATCAAACTAACATTTCCTCATGC